GCTAGTTCTTTTTTGCTTAAAAACAACATATAGAAAAGATACATTTGACAATCTTGCTTACTATAAACACCAATGTTAGTTGTAATTGTTTCTAAATAAGTAAATTTATGTTCGTCTCAGCATTGGTCCCCATTTTTATTTCATTTCTACTTTATAGGTTATAGTACCTCGATATGCAAATTATGCTGGCCTCCAAGATACAGGCGTTCGGAAAAGATATAAAGTGGATGGACAGGTGCAACAACTTTTACTTTGAGCTATTACATTTTGTAAACAATTTTTCTTGTATGTTATCACCGATATGTGAATTTTGTGACTGGTAGGACCTTGAAGTTGCGTTCTTCCAAACATATGTAGATGGAGTTGACTTTGTCTTCATTGATAACAACATGTTTCACCACAGAGAACAGAATATATATGGGGGAGACCATCAGGTAAAATGATGACACCTGCTATTTTACCTTAAAAAGTTATGCTAAGGGATGGACTTAGTTTATGAAATAGTGAGAATAAAACTCAGATTATTATTATAATCGATATAGCAATAATATTAATTTCTCTGATATCAATTACAATATAATCGTATTGCCCTCCAAGTTATTATCCAAGCAATTAATTCATTATCATTTCCAACTGCTCACGTCTTACATTTACTAATGTTCATTGGTTCAGGATATATTAAAGCGTATGACATTCTTTTGCAAGGCAGCGGTTGAGGTAAAACTGGCTAAAGTGCATAGATATTTATATTTTTTTGAAAGTGAAACAAATTTCATTAATGCAATGGAATATACAAAAGAGAGGGATATCCAAGGTTAACGAAGGTTACAAAATTCCCTCCAATTAGAACAAATATCGGTAGGAAAATAATGACAAAATGATGTATCTTACATTAAATGCCTGTGGTACAAAAATGAGATCTTAAGTAGAACTTCTAACCAGATTCACCCACAAAACTCTTGTCATCTTTCTGAAAGGGTGATTCAGCCGCAGGCAATGGATGGAGGTTGCTTGAGATATTTCAATGAAAGTGCTACTCCTACCAAATGTCTCATAAAAGAGCAATGGACCTACAGATGGTCCTGGGATTCATTATCCCATTTACAAGGAGGGATTAGGGATTAGCTATGAAAATAAACCAACCTCTAACTTATTATAGCTGGGATTCATTATACCATTACTAGTATTCTTAGAAATATTCTCACTTTTTCCTATTACTACTCTAACAGAAACCTTTCGTGAGCTTGAATCCAAACCATTCTGAAGGACAACTTAATGAATTCATCACTGAAGTGAATATAAGGGTAGAGAGAGGACAGCTTTGTCCAACATCTCTGGAAGCTGTGATTTTACCCTGAGGTCTGCCATTATAACGATAAAGTAATTTACAGATAAGAAACAGTCTCTAACCTATATCCTCCATTTCCATTGATGTTGTCAATGGATTGCTAGTCCACTTCTACGAATGCTTTTTCAATGGATAAACTGCATTATTGTTATTATATTTTAAGTTAGAAAGTCAAGAAAACTTCATTGAAAGGGAATACAAAAACAGCCCAAGGGCCAGGGGTCTGCACCCCTACCCAGGAACTAAAGGATGAACGCCTTACGATCATTGATAACCATCAAGAGGCTGATAGACTAATGATCACCATCAAGAGGCTGAAAGGCTAAAGTGGATTATCAAATGGAAATTGCTATTTTCTAATAACATTCTCACTTTTTGTGGTACAACTAAAGCTGATCATATTTATTTGGAAGTAATATTTTGCCTCTTTTTTTTCAGGTTCCTTGGCATGTTCCATGTGGGGGTGTATGTTACGGAGATGGAAATTTAGTTTTCGTTGCAAATGATTGGCATACTGCAATGTTACCTGTATATTTGAAAGCATATTATAGAGACAATGGTCTCATGATATTCACAAGATCTATTCTCGTAATTCACAACATAGCTCACCAGGTTAGTGAAATTTATTTGATTCAGTCTATTATTTTTTTCATTGTAAAATGAATTTCAAAACTTTTCCCATCAAAATTTGTGGCTCGGTAATGGAAATATAAGCAAATGCTCCACTCTCTTCCCCCACCTTTCCTCCTCTTTGCCCCCTGCCTCTGTTATTCTTATTCCGACCGTTCTTGTCTCTCTATTTCGAACCAATACTCATCCCAAATGTCTCTAAAAGGGAGTCCCAAATCAAGAGAGTGGACTTGCATCTCCAAAGGATGTAACCCAAATCCTCCAATTCCTTCATACAAAGAATTAACGACCCTGCAAAAAAGAGTACTTCTGAATGTGACCCATATGAAAATTGTATCCTTCGACAATGAAGAGAATTGAGAGATTCTAGACATATGGTGGTGGTTGAGACTTAGGAGACCAAAAACAAATATCACTACTACCTGGCCGAAGATGGATGGAAGATAGATGTTTTTGCTAGACACTTAAATTTGTATAATTTTGTTGATGGAAGCATGATTTTCCGTTGATAAACTTTATCACCCGCAAAGATTTCCTCGCATCAATTGCACATTAGTCCTCTCTCTCCAAAGATGGGGAAAAAAGAACTGATGTGTGTATTTCACCACATTTACTGGTTCTGCAGGGTCGGGGGCCAGTCGATGATTTTTATCGTGTGGATCTTCCAGAACATTATATGGATCTCTTCAAGATGTATGACCCTGTCGGTGGTGAGCACTTCAATATCTTTGCAGCCGGTTTGAAGGCAGCTGATCGTGTGGTCACAGTCAGTCATGGATACGCTTGGGAGCTTAAAACTATTGAAGGAGGTTGGGGTTTACATGGAATAATCAATGAGATTGACTGGAAAATGACGGGCATTGTGAATGGGATTGATTCAAAAGAGTGGAGTCCACAGTATGATATTCACCTCACATCAGATGGTTACACAAACTACTCAATAGAAACACTTCAGACAGGGAAGCCCCAATGTAAAGCAGCTCTGCAGAAGGAGCTCGGGTTGCCTGTTCGTGAGGATGTACCTCTGATCGGTTTTATCGGGAGATTGGATCACCAGAAAGGAGTTGATATAATAGCTGAGGCCATTCCATGGATGGTGGGTCAGGATGTCCAACTAGTTTTGTTGGGCACTGGCAGGCAAGATTTAGAACAAATGCTCAGAGACTTCGAAAACCAACACCGCGACAAAGTTCGAGGATGGGTAGGTTTCTCTGTCAAGATGGCGCACAGAATAACTGCTGGCATAGACATCTTACTCATGCCATCAAGATTTGAACCTTGTGGACTGAACCAACTCTACGCAATGAACTATGGCACAATACCAGTTGTTCACAGTGTTGGGGGTCTAAGAGATACCGTCATACCTTTCGATCCATTCAACGAGTCTGGCTTCGGGTGGACGTTTGATAGTGCGGAGGCTAATAAGCTAATACACGCATTGGGGAACTGCTTACTCACTTATCGACAATACAAGAAGAGTTGGGAAGGACTCCAGCGAAGAGGGATGACCCAGGATCTAAGTTGGGACCATGCAGCTGAAAGGTATGAAGAAGTTCTTGTGGCTGCAAAATACCAATGGTGAAGATGATGAGTCTTTGGTGATGTGTTAATATTCTCAACTCTCTCTGCAGTCTTCGTCTTAGTAGGCCTATGTGTTTGGGATTTGACAGTCTCATGAGTAAATTTTGGTTCCTGATTTGATTGTCTGAAATGAGAATCACTGCTTCCATTTCAACCCAATCCAATTCTGCTACAATAAGATTCTATTACTTGTAGCTAAAGTACATAAATTTAATGCTATTCAAAGTTTTTGTGCCCAGCATGTGTTGGTCTTTGTTGGTGTATTGTGTCCGGTCATACTTGTTCAAGGTATGTTGTTTGTAGCCGCGTGTTGGATGTCTAGTCATACTTGTTTAGGGTGTGCTATCTATGGTCATATGCCCATTCTAAACTTCTTTTTATTTGTTTTATATGTAGTTAGGTCTTTCCTATTTATGTCATGTTAATATGAGTATGACCGATTACCAAAATCATATCTACACCCGTTAGGGGCTAAGCCCGGAGGCTTTACTCTAGAGAGATTTGACTAGTTGTCAGAGTTGGGTGTTGTTGCTCATTTGCTTTTAGCCTATTATATTATTTCCTCTCAAATTATTTTCAATATATTTCTTTGGTTACGTTTTATAAAACATTTTCTGCTGAACGTGACGCAGGCTCGATCATACTTTTAGATTGTCCGTAAAGTTCAATTTTCACATGGCTAACTTGTTCGTTAGGTTAGAACAAGTGTTATAAGATTGTGATTGTGACAACATATTGTGATTCTAACACATTGTATAATCATTCAAGCTTGACATAATAGATCTTGTAAAGTGATTCGAATCTCAAACAAGTGTTCTTGCTTGAAATATCTGATCAACGAAGTAATCTAAATCTTACTTGCCTTGTGATGATTCATTCTCATTTGGTATCACAATTTTCCTTTAGGTTCATTCCTTATTAAAATGTCAATCCGTGCACGAGAGAGTGAGTGAGTTCAAGATTGATGAGTAATATAAGCGAAGAAATAAATAAATAAATAAATAAAATCCTTTTATTATTTTGATGTGACAAATGAAGAAATAAATTCTTTTTTCTTGGTAACTCATTGGTAAAAATAATATTATGGAACGTTTATTAAAATTGTAATATAATGAAATTAAAAGTTTAGTATGAGAATTGATATTTTATGGAACTAAAAAATATATATAAAAAAAAAACAATGTGATTAAATGGAACCACGTGGCATGGTCCCCACCAAACAGCCAGCTAATAATTTCCACCAATTATTCTAAATATCTTTTCTCCTCCTCCTTTTCGTCACGTGATTCTTTTTGTCTACACTTAATCCCATTTTATCCGTTTCTCTCTCCTGATAGAGAGAGAAAGTGGCCCTATAAAATAAAAATTAAAAATTAAAAATTTAGTTTCTTTTTTCGAAAAACAAAAAAACAAACAAATTTAACATAAAATGGATCAAAACTGGAAACTAATATGACCAAAACTTCCAAAACTTTATTTACATACACATTTACTTTATATATATATGTACGTTTTGATTCAGACAAACTTCAAACTCAACTCATTTTGGTCGGATCTGATGAACTCAGTGATATACATTTTCATTGAATTTGATTGATCTGGACAATGCAGCTGGATTGAGTTCCAACACTGAAGTGGGTTTGGTTCTCTCATTCTGTTCATCGCTGTCATTGAATCGAAAGGGCTTGAAAACCCCTTCCCCCACTGAATCCCTCTTCTCATTCTTGATTCCTAGAGTTGCCCATATGGAGCTTTTAGCTGCTTCTTCTGGGTCATCAATCCTCAACGTTTTTGGTATCCAAATGCACCTCTCCCCCCCTTTCTTATCTCTTGAATGTTTCCCCAATGTTGGAGAATTCGGCGCATGGCTTTGACCCACAGGGCTCATCCATGCCGCCTGTGGTACCCATGGGAGTGTCCAGGCGCCCCAGATTGGCGCGGTTGGATACATAGGCCTAGCAATTCCTGGTGGATATAAACCATAATTCCAAGTGTAAGCCCCAGGGGTGAATGGAATTGATGGTAAAACGCCTTCACAATTATGAATCACTTCATCATCATCATCATTATTCTGTCTTGTTTTATCACCAATGTTTAAAATGGAAGCCATTGATTCACAAAGAGGAGCAGCATCTGAACCAAATGCCATCACATTGCCATTACAAACATCAATTCTAGGCTGTTGAAGTGCTTCCGTTGCAATAATTTGACGATGGTGTGTAGCAGAGCTTTTGTTCTTACGACGCCCTGCACCCACTGGCACATTCCTCATCATCCCACCAGCCGTCCAATACCTTTGACAATTCTTACAAAAATGTCGCGGTTGATTAACGTTGTAGTTATTATAGTAACAGAATTTGGTGTCCATGCTGTTACAACGCGGACATGGAAGAATCTTGTCGGGTTTTTTCAGAGTCTTCTCTTGTGAGTTACTTATTTCATTCTGTTCATGAACACATAAAACCCCAACATTACCAAATAGCACAAACTCAATAATCTTGACCCAAATTCTGAAAGCATCAAAACCCAAAATTTTGATAGCAGAATAAAAATATCATAGACAAAGGATCATTTCACACAACACAAATCAAGAACAAACAAAGGATAACCCAAACAAGAAAGAAACCTAAATTTCTCCGAACAGAAGAACATGTCGAGTCAACAAAATCAACAAAATCAATATCAAACCAGAAAAGGATATCTGAAAAAACAAAATAGAAATCGATTTGAGGCAAATCCAGACCTTATCGGCCTCCAGATCTTCAACATCGCCATGGATATTGCCTTCCGGCGAGAAGCTCGAAGAAGGAGAATCGAGGTCATGATTAACAGAGGCGGTGGTATGGTTACCGGGTAAGGAAGACGGCGGCGGATGACTGGGAGGAGAAGCTTCCGGCAGAGGAATCGTCTTCCCGAAGAGCTTGATCGCCGGATCTTTAGGCTCCGACATTTCTGCCCTGTTTTGTCTTTTTTTTCCCCTATTTTTGCTATTTTATTTTTTCATTTGTAAATCAAAATCAAAGAAAGAGAGAGAGATCCGACACGTGTGGAGTGACAGCGTGGATAAATTTTACATCCGACTAGGAGAACTCCACTTTTTCCCTTTTTCTTTTTCCATTTTAATTATTTAATTAATAATATTATTATTAAATAAATATTTTATTACTATTTCTTTCTAATTTCGGTTTTCCAACACGAAATCTATTCATCCTACCGACAATATAAATAATTTAAAATTTAAATTGATGTTTCTTTTTGGTAATAATATAATATAATATATGATAGTGTCCATTTAAAATAAGTGATAAAATGGAAAATGAATCTAACGATTGAAACGACGACGTGTCATGGTCGAATCGGATTCTTTTTTTTAAAAGAAAATGAGTTGGATTGGGATAAAATGACACGTCAGCAGCAGTCGATGATTCTCAGCCACAAGCTTGTTTGTGGCCTTGAAAAGATCTTCTTTAGTTCCTCTCTTTTTTATTTTTTCTTTTTTGGCGCAAAAAAATAATAATAATCATAATGACGTGGTTTTCCAATCCTAGTCAGCATTTGCTCGCTCCCTACGTAATATCTCCGGTCCAAAAGTTATTTTATATTAATTTGATGTGAAGCAATTAATTGTGTATTTGATGAATTAATATAATAATTTATAAGTTGTTATATACATTTAATTTGTATAAGGTTGATGTAAAAATACAATATTTTTAAAATTAAAGAAAATATAATCTCCGAATTTTTCGGGAGTTTGTTATGCAAGTTGCAAGAGAAAGAGTAAGCCGTGGGCGATGATATCTAAGCATGGAAAGACGATAAAGCCCATTTAAATAAATAAGTCAGCGTATTTTTCCACAACCAGCCACGTGATCAGGGCCCTCTCTTGCCACGCAAGCAATCACCACCAACCACCACCACGATGGCTTTTCTCGGTTTGCCACACCAACACGTATATACGGGTGGACCCCACACCGGTTATATAAAAATCGTCGTAGTATAAATTTAAAGTAAATAGAATAAATATATGGATGTCGAAATTAAATAGAAAAAATGTATAAAAACTTTTTAAATTAATCAATTTTCATTCTAAATATCACAAAATCATTTAAGTTAATTGAAACTTATTCCAACTTTTTTTTTATTATTTTCTTTTTATTTATTATTATTTTTTTTTTTTTTTTTTTTTTTTTTTTGTAAAAATTACATAGAGTCGAGGACATATTATTAAGAATGAGAAATAGAAATAGAACTGGAATTGGAATCGGAATGGAAGGTGTATATCCTCATTGATATTCATAACCTTTGAATAGGACATAAACTATTAATTACTGTCTACGAATAAAGAAAATATAAATTAATTAAATATTGAAAATAAAATAAAATATACTATCAATCAAATCAAGAAAGAATATTAAGATATATTCTATAACTAAATATATTATATCGGATATAATTATCAGGTGAAATAAGATTTATAAACAAAGATAAAATATTTTGTTGTCTAAACTTATACAAATTTATTATATATTATATATTTGATTGTTCAGTCTCATACAATCTCGTTAGGTATGATATTTTCGCTTACTCGCAAACAAACAAATCAAGAAAAGATGGATTTGGTGAGAGTCGCCCAAGCCCATATTTGCACATCAAAACTACGTAAAGGTACAACAATTAGAGAAGCCCATACATCAAGCCCTCAATAATTACGACGCCTAGAAACTCACTTACTCGATCTATGAACATATAAAAAAAAAAAAAACAAGAATCATCAACGAACTAATTAAGAATTTTAAACATTTCAAGAAACCAAAATTAGAATTGTTTAAGCATTTGTTTGTTTAGAGGCACACCATTTAGTGTCTTGTTCTAATATCATTTATAACAACGTAATATCACAGCAATATTGTTCGTTTTAGCCTGTTACATGTCATCGTCAATCCTACGATTTTAAAACGCGTCTAATAGGAAAAGATTTTCATACACTTTTGAAGATTGCTTCGTTTTGATCGAAGTCTAAGTCTTCGGGTATGTATTAGTTTAGACAATGTTTGAGAAAATGCTTAAAAGAAAGAAAGAAAAGGACGTTGAAGTAAAGTAATGTGGTTGGGCAATGAAATAAGAAAGGCCTCGTTTCACTGAAATTTCTCTCATTTGGAACTTTGCATGCGCGTGTGAAAAGTGATAGATACCCACTCTAAATTATATACCCAACATTATTTAATTTCTACCATCATTTTATACCTTATAATCTTCAATTATTCAACTTACTCCATTTAATTAAACTAATCAAATTTGACTTCGTCTTCCATTAATCAAATCAAACTCTTTTTTTTAATTCTATATCTTTACGACCCCGGGTGTCTCAAAGTCTTACTACAATACTTATAGAAATATATATGTAAATTCATTGAAAACTCTTGCATTTGTCTCGTCGTTAGTCTTAAACACTGCTGATAGATAATAAGCTTGAGTTTTGTTTAATGTGTATTTGAATTCTCCAATCAATACTAAGGTAAGATTAGTCGTGTAATACAAGTTTCAAAAACCCGAATTTAAAAAAAAATATATTTTTGTTTGTATTTTCTCAGTTAGTTGTAGAAAGATTTTTGCATTGTGTCGGTCAATCCCACGAACCAATGTTTCCTAAGAAAATCCTCGAACAGATTGGAATGCTTCAAACAAAACCCCCCTCTAATACATTGCAAAACTTTTCTTAATCATGGTATGTTTAGACTCGTTCTCTTTTGGATATGGTTTTGATTCATTCATGTACCTCTCATTTACTTGAATGTCAACTGTACAACTAAATTTGGACGTGAAAGATTAAAAAATAAATAACTATAACGTCCCACGTTAGTTGGGAAGAGGAACAAAGCATCCTTTACAAGGTTGTGGAAATCTATTTGTACGGGACACTTTTAAGACATGAGGCTAACAACAGTAAGTAATGGGCTAAAATAATAAAGCTAACTGAGCTAAGGCTGTTATAAATGGTAGTAGAGACAGATATCAGGCGGAAGTGTGCTAGTGAAGACGCTGGCACGCTAGCTTCTAAGAGGGTGGATTGTGAGATCATTTGGACAATTATATATAGTATCAGAGAGCCGACAACGGGCTCTGTGCACAAGAGGACGTGGGCCCCAAGGGGGTGAAAACGGATTTAAAAAAAAAAAAAAAAACCACTTGTTATTTTCTCTTAATATGATAAAAGGAAAGAAAAAAAAGGAAACTTGAAGATGGATTGAAGTTTCCCAAACACATCAATTCACGTTGAACATTATTGTATCTTAATGGCTCCAACACACGCCGGTAAGTTTCCAAATTTCAACCTCCAAAGCTGACCACAATTATATAAACCCATTCCCCCCCCCCATCACCAATTCACCACATTCCCTCCACAAACAACACAACTACAAAATCAGTATCCATGTTCTTCAAACTCGAGTATTTACTCACAATGCACAACCCACAACCCACCATCAATCTGCAGCTCATCCCGTCAACGACAACAACGACGCCGCCGCTCGTTTTCATCGATCGGGCATCGATCTTCGCCGGCACAATACACGACCTCGTCTCTCTAGCCTTCTCATTCTTTCAATCGCCCCCCAAAGATAAGGCTGCGCCACAAAGCAGAGCCTCACAATCAGAGAGCAAGGAAGATTGGTTGATGAGCAGAGAAGAAGTGAAATCTGTGATGGAAAAATTAGAGCTTTATTGCAACGAAGAAGAGGATGATGAAATTGATGAATGTTTTGGAAGGGATGAAGTAAGAGGCATGTTTGAAGAGAATGAACCGAGCTTGGAAGAGTTGAAGCAAACGTTCAATGTGTTTGATAGAAACAGAGATGGGTTCATTGATGCACAGGAATTGCACACAGTTCTGGGCCTGCTTGCCTCTAATAATACCATATTCATCCATGACTGCAAATCAATGATAGCCAGATTTGATCGCAACAATGATCAAAAAATTGATTTCAATGAGTTTGTAAAGTTTATGGAGGTTGCCTTGTCCTAAATTTCTTATTTGCATATCATTTTGTTTACCCATGATTTCATTCGCTCCTAAGATTAAATTACAAATTTTGTCACGAATTTTATGTCTAATTGAAAAAAAATAGAACCAACCAGGCCCATCAATTGGGCGTACTTTCAGAACATCAAAGCTGAACGATTTGATATATATTTTAATCATGGTTGAAGGAGCTTGAATAAGACTTAAAACTATAAATATATTATCTATCTTTATAACTTCGTTAATTTGAAAATAAATATCATATGGTGAAAATAAATATCATATGGTGACGATATGCAAGTCCATGGTATCTTAGAAGATATAGTAATTGTTTTTGTGTTGTTTGTGGGCGTACGCAGCAATGACTTCTTGCCTAACTCAACGTGCACGGTGTTGTAGATGTCTATTAAATTCTAGTTTTGTTGGGTACTCGTTCATGTCTTAAATGATGATGGATGTTTATAGGTTGTGTTACAATACATCACTAATGCCTGTTACAATTTTTTTTTAAAAAAAAATTAATGTTCCTAATCATTGTAAATGTAGGGTTGAGTTGGGTTGTGAACCCAGTTTTTGAATTGAACGGGTTGACTTGACCAAGTACGTTTCAACTTGTGAATTGAATCGAGAAAATATTTAAATGATGTCGAAAATATTTTTGAAGATATAAATTGGAAGGACTTTCGAACAAATAATAGTTGTTTTACTTAATTTGTCAACAAAAATATCTTAAACAAAAGCCTAAGATTATTAATAATTTGGAGTGTTTCAGTTCCATTTCCCTTCATAAATCCGTGATTGGTTCATATCCTTGTCTAAGCAACTCTTCTCCTTCTCGTTCTGGTTCTTGTTCTTGTTTTTGTTGTTCAGCCAAGGATGACTTGCCGGCAACCATTAACTTTTGGTCGGCTAGTCGTTTCTGGCTATACAACTTCCTCCTTTCATGGAAGCTCGTTTCTGATGCCAAATTCATCTGATTGCTCAACCATTTTTCTTTTCCCCACCTCCTAACCTAATTTTCTTTATTATTTTCTCGAGTTTTGGGTTGATCGAGTTGGTAACTTCAATAGAGTTGTGTTGAGTTGTGTAATACGAAGAGCTTTCTACGCCTTTGTAAGAAATGTTTTATTCTCCTCTTCAATCGATGTGCTCTTGAGGGCCAGTCATCGACGTGAGATCTCACAATTCAATCCACTCCTTGAATGTAGCATCCTAAAGTGTCTAGCTATGATACTATTTGTAATAGCCCGAGGTCATCGTTAGCAGATATTATCCGTTTAGTTTGTTACGTATCGTCGTTAGCCTCATAATTTTAAAACACGTCTGTTAAGAAGAAGTTTCCATGTTCTTATAAGAAATGTTCGTTATTATTTACAACCAACTTGGAATCTCATAGGTTGCAATTGGTTCGATCGACTCGACAAACAAAAAACGTCAACTAGCAAATGAAAACGAATTTTTGATTTTCTAAAAGTTCAACCCAACGGAAACAAAAAAGAAAAATATAACGCAACCTAACTTTTATGGTTTTGATTGAATAGTTTCATTGATCGAATTACTAAATCATATGAACCATTTAAATTTTATAAAACCGTTTCATCCTCACCTAATATTTTCTTGAGGGTACATTTTTTGGTTCCATTATTGTGGTTCTTTATTTGTTCTTATCTACCATTTCAACTTGGTAAATAGTTGATATTTTATCATTTATTTACCATTTATTATTACCGTGGTATAATTAGATCGTAGGACTGCCACATATAACTCTAAATCCCGAAATGACAAAGAATTTACTAGAAGTGCTACTACAAAGATGCAGCTGTTGAAGATATTTTTAGAGTTTTTTTTATTAAATTACTGTAAACAAAATAGAAAACTTATTAACACAAGCCGTAATTATCAATTTTTTAAAGTTTTTTTCGGTTGGGTATTGAGTTTTATATTTTATATTTATGGATAAGAAGATTAAAAAATGTTATTAATATTTATTTAAATTTGTTACATAGATTATAGGTAGAAATTAATAAAATTAAATATTTAAAATCTATAAAAAAAAATTCCGCACGACTGCTTATTAGAAGTCAGATTACGGAACCGCAAATTTTGATTAATATCTAATTGGGTTGCCTAACCGTTGTCACACACAACCCATGCTTTTCCACCACTTGTATGATGCCACGTGGAGAAATGTGGAGCAGCTGACGTATGGATGTTACTTCCCCTCCACATCAGCATCTGAAGTCTCTGATTGGTCCAAGCTTTCATTGAAAGAGAACAATATGGATGTACAATCAGACGTGGCAGATATCGAGTATTGACTGAGTGATTGATTTACAGCCGTGTGATGAAGAGAAGAGTTTGGCGGTTGAGATTGAAATTTCAGAAAATGGAAAAAAGCAGCCACGCTGAATTCAATGCATGGGTAAATAATTTCCAATATTAATTTTTATGAAACCAATAATGGGAAGTATAAACCCAACGTACCAATAATTGTAATGCCACTTTTTTTACGCCACAATTTCTTTTTATTTTTATTTTTATTTTTATTTTCTTTAAGGAAAAAAAAAAAAAAAAAGCTGGATTTATTTGCCAGAAAAGAATAAACGACAAAAAAAGAAATAATTAAGATAAAAAGAGAGAATATTTATAATTAGAAAGAGGAGTATACTTTTCCTGTATATAAAGAAAATAATTGATCAAACTTTGTAAATTAAAAAAAAAAAATGTTTATTTTTTAATTTAAATTATCTGTACATTGCCAATAGAAAACCGACATTAATTATACATAATTAAATTTTAAGTGAAAATAGCCCACAAAATAAACTATTTAATGTAGTGTGAAATTTGTTCGTACTATATTATCGGAATAACTGGGCTCGGTTATCCACATGGCATTCAATCAAGTCCCAAACGTGGAGGAGTGTTGATTGATTGAACTTAGAGAGATATATCCAAATCGAGAAAAAAATAGCCTCAAAAGGATATTTAGATAAATAAAGGGTATTTTAGTCCTTTCACATGTTGTGAAAAGTATAGAAGTGGAGCCTGAAGTCGTCATTTTAGGTTAGGTAATGCATATTGGCTCCGTCCATGCCATAGATGTGAATACTAATTTCAAAAATTCCAAAAATGCCCAATTAATTCATCTTATTTTATTTTGTGTATAATAAAAATGATAAAATATAAATTTATATAAATCGCTTGATTTACCCAAAAATAAATAAATAAATAAAACTCCCTCCTTCCAACAAATTTAATCAAGTATGTCTATTATTTAAAATATTTTTATTTTAAAAAATTAGATAAATTATTCAATTTCGATATAAATTCAAAAAAAAAAAAATCCTTTCACGTTAAATAGTTAAAAAAAAAAAAAAAAAAAAAAAAAAAAAAAAAACTAGTCANTACAATGTGAATGTTGTAGTTTGAATAATATCTATTAGAAGACAAAATGGTGTTTATAGCCTAAACATACTAAATTATACTTAATTATACTAATTCATACTTATGGACAAAAATTGTTGGTTGACGTAGGCTAATCACATGACAAATATTTTTGAATAAATTCATATTAGGTTACCTATTTAAAAGTAAAACCTAACTTTTAATTTTGTATTTAATTAGTTTTTATAAAATTAATTAATTATTAAATATAATTTTATATTTTATATTTAAACAAATCTATTAATTTTTTTAAAAAATTGAAAGTTTAAATATTAAATTTGTAATTTGAAATTAAGAAACTAAAGTTAATCTTAAAAAAAAAAACATTAAAATTAACCTTAAAAAACATGAAAAATATGGATATCTTCCACACGAAGACATTTTTATATGGTTATAAAGTAGAAGACTTTTGGTTTAGGCAGATAGCAACTAACACAATGACTTTTTATTATTATTTTTTTTTATTTTACCTAATTAACCAAAATTACACCATTCCCCCACAATTTCAATTCTATTTCATTTCTCACCACTTCAATCTTTTTTTTTTTAATTAGTTGCCCGAAAGTTAAGCCATTAAAATAAAATGTATTTTATTTGCATTAATTTTAGAGTTATTCCTTGTGTAGAAATGACCATATTTCATGCATCTCGTACAATACATGCATCAAAAAAAAAAAAAAAAAAAAAAAAAAAAAAAAAAAAAAAAAAAAAAAAAAAAAA